CCTTCTGCCCTAATGAAATGATTTTTGTGTATAACCAAAGCAAACATTTTTCTTGAGTAATCACAAACAATTTAAGACCAAACACAAATATATATATATATCTCTTCATTTACATAAACCAAAAAGAAAAACTCTTAACATGCATCGAATAACTGTATGTGAAATCAAATTAAGAAGAAATTAAAATTGAAACAATGAAATTATAAGAAAAAAAATAATGAAAATGTGATTCCATTTTTCATTTTAAAAAGTGATTTTCCAGATCTTGAACCTGAGATCAACCTTACACTTCGCCGCAGAAGTAGTAGCCGTCGTCGCTTTCTTCCCCGTCGGAGCCGCCGCTTTAATCCCTTCACAAGTAACCCTAATTCCCGATTTAGGCGTTTTCACAGATCCCATCTTCACTTTCACTTTCGTATTAAGAACAATCTTAATCGCTACTGCTTTCTTTGCCTTCAGATCTCCTTTAAGCTTACCCGCCGAGATCTCATCTAGATCTCCCGGAGGACTTCCAATCGTAGATCTAAGCAGAGTCGTGTTCTTCTTCCCGTGAACAAACGAAGCGATGGTGCCTTTACCGATAACGACGTCATCATCTCCGGCGGAGGTTTTGTATACGGTGATGTCGGTGACGTCGTAGTTGAATCCGACGTTTTTGTTAGGGTTTTTAGCGATGACGGAGAGAGATATCGCGGTGGTGAGGTGCGTGGGGGATGTGAAATTGAGAGAGGAGATTTTGAGTGAAGAGACGGTGAAGCTTGGCCGTTGAGGACGGTAGATTAGGTAAACGACGGCGGAGACGGCGGCGGCGATTAGGATTAAGAGTATGATTACGAAAATCGTCCAGCAACAGCAACGGCAACAACATCCACGGCTATGGGTACGACGACGACCTGCTGGTGGACGGTAAGCCGGACGATTTGCGCTGTAGAGCTGAGCTTTAGTCGCCGGGAAAGTTGGATTTGTGGCTGCGCCTCCGCCGTTGATAACGCCGGGAGGTTTGGACGCCGGGTAAACTCTGTCGTCAGTCATATCGGAGATTCAGAGAGGAAGATTTGATTAAGAGGGAACAATAAGGGTAAGATTTAGGACAAGTGTGTTAACTTTATAAGAGATGTGATTGATTCTGTGAGATTTACAGTGAAGCTTTTAAGCTTATCTTTTAATGGCTGATTTAATTTATACTAATTAATTAGTTTAAT